TAATTTAAACAGCATATTTAAAAAATTATCCCATTAATATATTATAAATGTAGAGACAATCAAAATAAAAGCAAAACATACCTGATGTTGCCGACATAAAGGCAGGCCCAAGACCGCATCTATCTCAAGCCTCAAGGCATCATGTACTTGAGAATGAAATATAAAATGCAACTTGTAGTTCCCATTTTCCTGTAACTAATGTGCTTTAAATCTTAATCAAATAAGAAGAGAAATAAAAGCAAAAATGCATTTTTCTCTAAGAACATTAGCGCTTTAAAAATATTGGGCCAAGAACAGAGGAAATAGAGGAAGTATAGTTACAACTTTTTTCATACCATTACAACGTTGAAGAAACGCATTGAAGGATTTGAAGGTAATTAAAACATTTTTTGATCTGATGCCATTACTGTGTTCAATTATCATAGACCAAGAGGCGCTAGAAGAGAAAGAAGTGCAATTTTTCTATACTTGTCACTACCGTCTTTTCAAATCTTAGAACATGAAGAAAACCGCAAAAGGTAAAAAGGCCGCACTTTCCTCTTGCATCTTTATTATGTTTTAAAATCTTATAGCCTTAGAGAAGAAAAACTTTAATTTGTCTCATCTACGTTACCAATTGATGTCTATGTTTTGAAATTTTAGCTAAAAAAGGGGACATTCAAAGATAAAATGTCATTGTTTTACTACCATTACTATGTTTTAAAATGAAGGCAAAACATACTTTATGTTTCCCACTTAAAGGCAGGTCCAGAATGTATCTATATGAAGACATCATGTTCTTGAGAATGGAATCAAGTATAAATTTCTACTAATAATTTCTATTTTCTAGTAACTAATATGCTTTAAATCTTGGTCAAAGAGGAGAAGAAATAAAAGTAAAAATGCATTTTTCTCTAAGATTATTGTAGTCATTTAAAACATACCGGAGAAGAGATGAATCAAATGTGAAAAAGGCTATTGTCACTTTTTATGTAATTATAGTTAAAAATCTCTATGTTCTACCTGTTTGTTGTACGGGATAACAAACTCACAAACATGGGCGGATCTATGTTGGGGCAGGGGTGGGCTCCAGCCCAGCCCAACCCAATATATTTTTATTATTATAGGTATAGGTTTAATTTCGAGCCCACATCAAAACTAATGTCTAGCCCAGCCCAAGTCTACCAACTTTGTAATTCTATTTGATTATTAATTGAATTTTTTCAGTAGATAGTAAAATAGTTTTTATTTATTATTATAAATTTATAATGATTAAAGATAGAATTAAAGATTAGAAAATGATTTATTTATAATGCAATTAAAGAATAGAAAATGATGTATTTACTATTTAGGCATGTAAGAATGGATTCAAAATCTCAATTCAATTTTAAAATTGGGAATACTTATTAGTTTTATGTACATCGACTATTTTTACTTATTAGTTTTATAGTTTTATAGAAGTATTTTAATTCATATCAATAAATACTAAAATCTTTAATAATCAATAATAAAATTATAAATCACACTAAAAACGTTTAAATTTTAGATATGCTACCTCTATCTCATTTTATTTAGCCATTTTTGACTCTTTACTCAAAGATGGTAAACTTTGATCCATCATTTTAACTCATGTATTAATGTGAAACTTACTAAATTTATACTTTTATGATAAACTTTTTAACAAAGAACATTTCCATTTCATTTTCATATTATAAATTTTATTGTATAAATATATAGTCATTCAGAGTTTAACTTCTTTGACTTGAAAAGTCAAATTAGTCTTAATAAAAGTCGGAGGTAGTATATAGTTTATTTCTATAATTTATAAGTTATGAATATGCTCGAGTCCAGATCGAACTGAACATGACTATGCTCGAATTCAGCTTGAATAACTATTCAAACTCAAAAAAATAACGGCTGTTTTTTTTGTAAAAACAAACTATTTAAACTAGCTAAAATTTAGCCTGTGTTCGAGATTGAAGCTCGTTAAGCTTTGGTCATTAAATTAAATTCGAAACCATGATCGAACTCGAGTAGTTCGAAAAAAACTCAGTTCAATAATTATCAGTACTAAGCTAAACCTTTTGCATGCAATAACGAAAATTTTTACTGCTTAGCCCACCTCACCCCTCATTCCTGGATCCGCCCCTGCTCACAAATTATATGTGAAGAAGTTGTTCCAAGCTTATGCATCTGCACATAATTTCCACCGAGAGCTGCGCTGGTTTCATACTCTGAAATCCTCAATGTTGGAACATTTTTTATTTCCTTCTTGCTGAACTTCAAGAGTCACTGAGAGAGTTGTCATTGGTAGTATCTAAAGGTCGAAGCCAAGCTGTCTTACACCCAGAAAAAATATGACATTTCCTGTAAGAAAAAAAGTTGTTAAATCAGTATGGCCAGCTTACCTGCAAGAATAAGCAAATGCATTGCACATAAGTCATTCATCTTAAAGAAAACTGAGTAAAGGTACAATCAAATGTTATCTAAAATGTGGCCTAGCCTACACGGGTTTCCCCCCACCAAATTCAGAAACACAAGAAGCGCAGACAGTTTGGTAGGTCATTTTGCTTTATTACGCCAAAATGCCTGAATTTCTCAAGCCAAAAAAGTGAAGCTTTGGCTCCATTGCAAATGATGGAAATTAAAAATAAATAATTTGGAAATAAACACCCAAGCCTGAATTTTGATAAACTGCCAAAAGATTCATTGGATGTCAATTAATGTACAATATCTTTTGTTTGGAACAACGGGCAGAAATTAATGTATAGCATCTAAAAGACTTAAAAATCTTAGGAGGTCAGAAGATGTAGGACTTCATGTAAATTTCGACCAATGGCAGCTTCAGTTAAAACGATCTATAAATAAAACGTAACTAAATAGAACATGGTTTAGACGCGAAGGAAAACTCACAGCCTTGTGAATGTGCATATCAAATTCCTGAGCATCACTCCCAGTTGAGTACCATCCTAGAATGTAAATGTTGTGAAACACCTTCTTAAAAGAATATATGTAAATGATTAAATAAAAATAAAACTAATAGGCTATAGCAGCAAATTTCACTAACGTGATGTAATTATAAAATAAATTAGCCTAGAGTCCAAATTAAATTATGATAATACTCCGTATAATTTGACTTCATCTATCCGTCATTATTTTATTCTAATCATGAAGTCCAAAAAGAAAAGAAATGGATTATAGAAAGAGGAGCAACTATAGCATTCTAAAAGCACTTCCTTACACACTTATAACTTTTAATTTATCAACCATTTTATGGTGATACATAATAGCAATATGATGAAATAAAAGGCCACATCAGCAAGCCAAAATAAAGATAAGAAGTAATACAAATTAAAGTGAAAAATTGCACTATTTTCACTCCATAGAGTACATTTTTGTTCGCTGATAGAAGAAAATGAGAAGTCCTGGTGCTGATTTCAGTAATACTAAATGGTTAGAATGAAACTTTTGACTTAGAATATAAGTCTTTAGTCCCTCAAAAAAAATATAAGTCTTTAGGTATATTTTAGAGAAAAGGCAAACAATATTCTTAAAGCATGAGCCACATGCTGAAATAATATGACATGTACCTTCTCATCTATGAGAACCATCTCAATCATATGGATTCAGGGGATTTCATTTGCTAGGGACGAACCATTTTCATGCTGCTCACAATATATCAGCAAAACCTTGTAGTTAAAATGTATATTGACATTCTTAAAAAGGACTTTGAGAGGAGAGGTTGCATCCATTAGAAAATCAATCCATCTTAATATAAAATACAATGAATAGAACAGTACATACGGTGAGGATTAATTATAAATACCTAAGCCCTTGACTGAAGTGAACTCATGATTCGTCCAAGATGTAAAATGGTTTTAGTAATTTAGCTCCTTTTTAGTCCAGGACTTTTATACACACCCAAGCTACGTCCGAATTCATTGGTTGAGCAGCTATAGCATTCTAAAAGCACTTCCTTACACATTTATAACTTTTAGTTTATCAATCATTTTATGGTGATACGTCATAGCAGTATGTAGAAATAAGAAATAAAAGACACTTAAAAACGCATTTTATGAAATAAATTCTATGCATTTTATCACATTCTGTAAAAAGCTTCACTTTTTATAAAGGGGGGAGATTCAGGAACATGATTCAAAACTAAAAATCATCAATGTGACATTATTACAAACACCTTAAAGGCACTCTAAAACTGTGAATCTTAGAACCAAATTTTTTCACACTCCATCTCAAATTCAAAGCAATTGAGTGAACCCTACACGAAAACAATCAAAACATGTACTCCGTATTAAATTTGAACCGGCTATAAGCATATACGGAGTAATATATTTAATCATCAAATATATAGCACAAAAAACGTTGTGTAATAGGAGTGGCGTTAGGAGATGGAAAATTGGGGGCTGGATAGCGGTTACCTCAAGTCTTCTTGGGTTAGCTTTCTCTTTAGTCTGTCTTCAACTTCATGAAAGACTAAAATTTATTTCCAGTCCTACAAAATCGAAATCAATACAACAACCATTAGAAACTGATTCCAGCCCTTCAAAATCGATTAACTCATACTTTAAACACCCCAAGTTGAAATATAAAAAAAGAACAGTGACGAAATCAATATCAGACCTAATTAATAAGAGGAATCGATACGGTTTTAACTTAGATTAACGGGGAGAAAGATTAGTTTGAGAGGAATGAATTAACTTTTGATGGTGAAAGCATGTGGAAGTATTCGTGCTTTGTAAAGGCGAAGAAGTGGTCGAAAGAATGAGATGGCTTTATGAGATAACATGTATTTACCCAAATGTCCCTGAATCCTGAGCGGGAAATAGACTTAGTTCGATTAATAGATATATAGATAACATGTATTTACCCAAATGTCTCTGAATCCTGAGCGGGAAATAGACTTAGTTCGATTAATAGATATATAGATATAGATTACATTATTATACCCTAAATGTTGTGCCCAAACCTATTGTACAGAACAAAAATGACAAAAATGATATAGGGGCATGGCGAGTGACCCTTTTCAAGTTAATCTTCATCCCAATGCAAGTCCCTGTTCGAAGCATCAGTCTTGCGTTCTTCCTGAACCGTACATGTTCTAAAGAATCGACCTTTCGAGCGTTCTCATCATCTCCGTCTCCATCAAATTACTCAACCCAGGCTCGTGGCGGCCTCCCTCGCTTCTATTCCGAAATCCTCCCTTCTTCCAAGGCATTTCGCTTCTCTTAATTCCACCCTAATGCATCATTCACTCGTTGAATTTCATCTTTTTTTACCCAGAAAGTTTCTATTTTATGCTCTACTTTAACCCCCGAACTGTTTTGTTTGGTTTAATAAAACCAGTTTTCATTTCTGTTACTGATTGGTGTAAGGATACTCTCTATGGTTGAAAGATGAATTTTTTTGTGGTAAAGAAGTGCGTATGGAAGCATGTAAATCATGTATGGAGAATAGCATGAAAATCATGATATTTTTTATATCTTCTGTAGAATAGAATAGCTGAATAGGAAGAGGTGTGGTTGCGTGCATACATGGTCTCATGGACCGTGCAGATATTGTGGGGTTCATCGGTTCATCCATGTTTTGCCTCCAACTGTAGTTGAAAATGTTTTAAATCATACGGAGTATATTTTTCTTTTGTGAAATACCTAGTAAGATTTACTTTCATCACTTCCTGAAAGATTTTCAATTACATTTTAATTTCATTCTTTAGTTTAGTACCCTTTTCTACTGTGTTAACATGCAGGGTAGTGTTGTTCGTGTCAAAGGAGATGAGTTTTGGCACATGACTAGAGTTCTAAGATTGACCATTCATGATAGGTAATCAGGAGTTACAATCAACCCTGATGTTTCATCGTTTTTTTTATATAGAACAGTACTAAAAACTAAGATGTTTTTAGTAGTTTCTACTTTCTAGCATAGCTTGTATTGGCAATGCATCAAAAGCATAGCTTGCACAGCCATGTAGCTTATTAAAAATATAATTATTGTAGTTGTTGCTTTTGTTTTTGTCATTGTTATTTAAAGATTACTAGTATATTTACTTGCTTTATTCATTTGAATTGTAAAGGTATTTTTGTCCTTGGTTAACTGGATAGGAGTCATAGCACAAAGTATGATCTTTTTCCAGATGTTTTGCATGAATTCCAATTTAGTTTTTATGGAAAAAATCATTTTTTATTGATTCCCTTGTTCTTTGGTTTTGTTTGGACCTCCCAAAGGATGGGAGATGGATGATCTAGCTTGTACCTTTCATTGGCTTTCTCCCTATATATCTACCTGTTTCTTAAAGATGCCCACTATATCTAACAGAAGACCTCTCCCCTTCCATATCCATTTTACTCTTGCTCCATGACCATTTGATCTGTGGGTACCGCAGCCAGGCATCTCTGGCTCGCTGCTCTCTTTCACGTACACCTTGTTGCTTGAAGTTTTTTAATTTTTAATAAGTTTTTTTTTTATTTTGTTTTTTGGTGTGTGAAAGTTTATTTAGATGGGTGATTTCAACTTTTCTTCATTCTTCACTTTTATCAGTTTTAAGTAGAGCTGATAATATGAATAATAAATATTTGATAACATAATCGATAATCTGGATATAATTTGAATACCAAATGTATTACGGAAATTACCCTAAAAAGGAGTAAAATAATGGGATATCCCAAAATAGGAGTACTATGTTTTTTCCATTAATAGTAGTATACCAACATGCTTGGAAAGTACCGTCAGTTATGGCTGCCAAACGTTAATATTTTCACTCTCTCTTTTCACCTCCCCTATCCCCCCCACTCCCCTCCCTTTCATTTTAACCAAACACGTGGCAAATGTCTGGAATTTAGAGACAGTTTTTCTAGCAGCTGACAAAACACAGTTGTTCCCCTTCATGATCCGATAGTAGTTAATATTGTTGTTACTTGTTTTAATTTTGCAAGGGTAGAGCTATTTAATGGAAAAGGGAACTTAGTTGAAGGATGCATACAGGACATTGATCAATCTGGACTGAAAATTGTGGCTCTAGAAAATCCCAAGTTGGTATCACCTTTGGAGACTCAATGGCATGTCTTTGCTGCTTTCGGTGAGTTTTTAAAAGCTGTGGATCCTTCACTTTTCTGTTTCTAGCTTTTATAATAATTCTTAAAAAATTCTTTGTTTTAGGAACTCTAAAGGGAGGTCGCGCTGATTGGCTTGTAGAGAAATGCACTGTGCGTATTCTTCATGTTCCTAACCGCTGAAATATCTAATAAATCACTTCAAAACATATTTTGGTAAAACAAATGAAATTATGTTTATAAATACACTTTAAAGTATTATTTTATTTTATTTTATTTTGGGCTTTTCAACCAAAAAAGTTCATCCCACGCTATTTTTGTGTGTTTGTAGTTAATAACCTACGGCCTGTTTGGATAGAGTGTTGAAAGGTGTTAGTAATGGAAGTGTTAGTAGGTGTTGGCAGGGGCCTGGATGGGATGGCAAGTGTAAGTGTAAAACATAAACCTACCTTGTTTGGGAGAGTTAAAAAATGAAGGGTTAATAACGGAAGTGTTTCCAATTAAATTGACAATAATACCCTTATTTAAAATCATTTAAAATAATATAACCTGATTCCTACATATTAGAACTTTTTTAGCATCATCTCTTCTTTCAATTTTTTTTTATATGACCTGATTCGTATTATATATTGTTGTGATATATTATCCCGGCCTATTACTGTTTAGGAGCCCAAAACATTACTCAGTATGGAGCCCAAGCAGCTAAGCCCATATCGGCCCATCCAGCCCACTTTATCCATTTGGGCCCATTCCGGCCCATGTGGCCCATTAGGGTGGATTACTTCCCCTTCCCCCTATTCCCTATAAATAGGAGGTTTCCCTCCATGAAAAAGGATCCTCTTTTAGCTTCCCCAATTTACTTATCTCTCTAGAATAGCTTGCAAGACTCCATTAATGGAGCTCAATATTTGTACTATGTAATGGTGAGGAGAGTCCTAATGAGAATGAGAGGGCTTGGACATTAGCCTAACAAGTCCCGTGGTTTTCTCCCTTTCGGGTTTCCACGTAAAAACCGAGTATTCATACACATTTATACATATATTTACTATATCGTGTTGGAATAAACTCAACATATATATATATATATATTGAGATTAAAAGTAAATCTAAATTAAAAAACATCAAAGTCGTTGCTGAAGCTAGACCAAACATAATGGTAAGAAAGTCGACTGGGCTATTTACATCCATCAAGTACTTTGTATTTAATGAAACAAAGTGGAAGGAAATGATAAGTATTGACCATTGCAACTCATAATGCTTGGTTGTGATGATGATCGATGAGAGCAGAAATACAGCAGCCAGGAGGTAGAATGACAATATGAAGGGCAAGGTTTGTCCAACACTCCAAAACACTCCAATTTGGGGTGTTAAAAAGTCACTTATGGAGGTGTTAGGGAGGTTTTTTCTAACACTTTTAAACACTTACTAACACTCCAATTTTTTTAAAAGCTTTCTCTCAAACAATTGTTAAAGCTAACACCTCTCAACACTTCCCTTACTAACACCTCCCAACACTCCATCCAAACAAGCCGCTAGTGTTTGGAAACAAATGGCTGATATGCCCAAACTAATCCTTACCAAACAGGCTGTAAGTAACTTATTAATTTCATCTCTTGTTTTAGGAGCTGGGGGCCCATAGCATTACACCACTGTTGACAGAACGGTCTTCTTCTCTTTCAGAAAATCGTGTGGAGAGATTATTACGTGTCAGTTTGGCTGCATCCAAACAATGTGAGAATTTGAGGGCAGTGTAGTAACAATCCTACTTTATATGGGCATGCATCTTTGTTCTACCAATATACAGAGTATTAATAGTAGGAGTTTCTAATAGGTCAGCGGCTGCACGAAATGAGTTTTAACCCTCCTATTAAAGTTGCTCAGCTGTTGCCTCATGTAAGTCACAAGCAGTTTTTACTTTTTCTACCTTTAAAGCAAAGAGAAAAACTTCCATAGGTGTTTTTTTTGCAGTATATTATTTTTTGGGTGCCTCTTGACTTAGAACAGTTAAACTTCTTTTAAGCCTTCCCATTTTCCATCTTTTACAAGTTTTAATTCTGTTTTTCTTTGATTATTTTTGGCCGGGTGGTTACTCCAAAGGTCAAAGCGTCGCCGTTATCATTTATTGCGTTAGCAGAGGCAGCACCAGTTTTTAGTGCCTTGAATTCCCGAAGAAAAGAATCGTCTGGATTATTGGTAATAGGACCGGAAGGAGGTCAGTTTTACTATCATACTATGAATTAAATAATGAATTCTAGTTCCACCAAATTGCCTTTGTTTCTGTTTTTTGTTCCCAAATATTTCAAATACCGATAATTTAATTTAATTGAAAAGGTAAAACGTCCTTGTAAAATAGCAAGGGAAGTCAAGACATGTGGCTCGTTTGGTAAGGTTTATTCGGTGAATTAGTAGAATGTGCTCAATTTTCATGCAGAAAAAGCTTTTGGTATTGTTCAAGTCTTTGTGCCATATTGGAGTCAATAGAAGATAACATAATCTGTCAAATAAGCAAAAAAACTATTTATTATGCTTTGGAGTCATTTGACCTATTTATCCACCCTCAATTAAGCTAGTTTAGTCTGAGGGGCCAAGTTGAAGTATTTGTCCCATATTGGTTAAATATACAACGACAACAACAACATTACCCCAGTCCCGTAAAGGCTCCCACCTATGGTGGGGTAAAGGGGGTCGGATGTATGCAACCTTACTGCTATACTAAATAGACTGTTTCTGGAGGACCTGCATATTGGTTTTATATAAATAACTAAAATCATGACGTTTTATTGGTCAGTGTCTTAAGATCATGACAATTTTCTTTAAACTTTTTCAGAATAGATTGCAAGTCAATAGAAGATAACAGTATCTCAGTCAAATAAGAAAAAATTATTTTTTCTGCTAATAAACAGAAAAACCATTTCGTAGCCTTATAAACCAGCTACCAAATGGAGCCCATGGAAAATTGCTCTATTTATTCCCACACACATATTGAACTTGTGCTTGCTCATTAAAAACTCTAACTTAGCTTTTTGTAATCTGATTCTGGGGTGATTGTGATGCTAAAGATTTCACTGAGAATGAGAGGAAAATGATAGTTGAAGCAGGTGCAACTGCAGTAGGTCTGGGGCCACATCGCCTACGAGTTGAAACTGCCACAGTGGCACTTTTGGGAACTTTGATGTTTTGGGCAGACAATCAGTGTCAACTAGCCAACAGTTAGCAGAACTTACAAGGCCTGCCTATGTAAGGGATTTCTTTGTTGGGCTTGTAAATTTGGGATGGCTTGGTTTATACTTTTCTTGAAGCTTTATGTTCTCATTTGGTGGTATGTCCTGAATTATGAACTCGAAATGTAGTTGCTCACCTTAGGATAGAGCTTGCAGTCTCTTCGTCTCGTTTTTCTTGCTTTTCTTTAATCAGACACAACACTGTTTTTATATCACACACAAATCTCTTATCATGCATAAAGATTTGTTTAAAATGTTGTGGTTATTTTGATATTAAACTCAAAAAATTTCAGGATTAGGCTGGACCTCCCATCTCAATCCCTTTGATCAAGTCTGAAGCTGCAACTGAAGGGACTTTTAAAGTATTACCCATAACATAAAATGTATAGAGAGAGGCCAGTTTTGTTGTCAAGTGGAGTTAAATTATATAAACATGACAGAAGAGGGAAGTTAAGAAAATGATCAAAATCAAAGCTCAAGAATGTACTGGCAGACTGGCAGTAATGATCTAAGAGGGTATCATTATTTTTTTTTCTAATTGTCTCGCATATAAATAAAAACGTGTTCTACATTGGCGTCTTTGTTTTTTTATGTCTCATTTTCTTTTTATATTATAGTTGGACAAGTGAAATTGTGTTTTGAGGTTCTTTTAGAAGACAGAAATCATAAGTAACACAATTATTCTTCAAAAAATTTATAAGAATGCTTTGGCAACTTGCGAGCAAACAGAAATTAGAATCAACAAAATAATTTATCAAAATGCTTTGGCTACTCGCGAGTAGTTGTTTGCCTGTTTGTCTGTACATACAATTATGTACAATTGTAGGACAAATGCATACAAATTTTGGGCACATCAAGAATTGTTGTTATTGGACGAAAATAGTGCAACATTTAAGGACATACGTGATGTGATGGGTTTCTCATACAAGCATCATTTAGGTGATCGACCTCCAACAAGAGGCATGCAGCATGCTTGAATCTTTATTGCAAATCAGTGCTCGATAGTCGATATTAGACATACACTGGTTTTTTCCTGAAAATCTAAATAATAAGTGGAACATAAAGGCATAACTTTAGTCTAGCACAACTTATTTGCAAATATGCAACAACATTAGTTGTGCATAGGGATGGCCTTGGGCCGGTTCGGGCCCGGCCGGGCCTCGGGTCTGTTTTGTTGGGCCCGAGCCCGAACTGGTGGCCACCGGTTCCGGGCCGGGCCACCCGGTTAGTTTTTTTTTTTCCTTTTCTTTTCTCCCCCCCAAACCCCCCAAACCCCTCCTAAACATCAAGCCCAACTCAATAAAGCCCAAAAAATGAAAAAAACAAAAAAAAAAAAACAGTTTTTGGCCTGGACCCGGGCCTGACCCAGCCGGGCCGGTTCGCCAAAAACTGTAACCGAGCCCGGAACCGCCCAAGCCCCCGGGCCTAGGCCCGAACCGGACCCGGACCCGGAAAACCGGGCCGGTCCCGCACAGTAGCGGGCCGGGCCGGTTCCCGGGCCGGGCGGCCCGAACTGAGGCCATCCCTAGTTGTGCATGTCTAAACATTTCTTGAGAAGCAAAAAATATAATTGGCCATAACTTATGGCAACATTAATGTGTATTATGTCATTTAGGGGCATTATTGTGTATGAAGTTTGTTACTTAGGACTAGTAGTCATTTGGCAACTAAATATCCAAAACGAACGCACAATTTGCTATGTCCTGTCCGTATGAGCATGCAGTTTTTCAAGTCAAGAACATATGGGCCTTCTATTAGAATTAGATACCCATATTTCTTTAAATGCAGAGATTAAAACTTTTAAATTCATTTCACAGCACGCTTAAAACAGCAAACAATATTAGAGGCATGAAAATAAAACAAATTTGAGGTAATTGTTAGTTAAGAAGTGCAATCCCTGTACAACTAATGGTTGTGCTAAAGAAAAAGGCAAACAAAAAGTATAAATGTGATGAATTAACTATGTAACTAACTATATGCGGTAAGAAACCATAGCCACCAAAGTTTGCAAATTCATGGAAAGAAGATGAACAACACTTCTGGTAGACTATATGAACATGTACCCACAACATACATCCTCTAATTGATAAGCGGAAGACTCAGCATTGGCTTCGCTTTAGATGATTCACGAGTGTCGCTTGGCCACCCTACATAATGGCTACATTGGCCTGTCGGGCAAATGCGCAATGCAACCAAATGGACCGATCTCGTCACTATGGAGTAATGATGCATGCATGTACAAGCATTTAATGTTTTATTTATTTATTTATTTATTTATTTATTTATTTATTTATTTATTTATTTATTTATTTATTTATTTATTTATTTATTTATTTATTTATTTATTTATTTATTTATTTATTTATTTATTTATTTATTTATTTATTTATTTATTTATTTATTTATTTATTTATTTATTTATTTATTTATTTATTTATTTATTTATTTATTTATTTATTTATTTATTTATTTATTTATTTATTTATTTATTTATTTATTTATTTATTTATTATTGTTATTATAAATACCCCTTTGACACTTTGGTAATTTGTAAAGGTGACCGAATATAATTAATTCAAATTATCTTCTTCTATAGTATATTACTTCGACTCCTTTCTAAAATACTTGAAATGTTTAGTAATAGACTAATAGCTATCAATTTGTGTAGCAATTACTATATAGAACATACTAACATGATATTGCATATATCACATGAAAGATATAAGCGCATTAAATTAAATCAATTTTCTTTTCTTTTCAGTGATCTGCTATATTTTTAATTTATTTTTATTAACAATGTCATGCACAAATACACAAATATACTTTATTTGGGTTCTTTCCAAGCATGTTGGTATACTTCTATTAATGGAAAAAACATAGTACTCCTATTTTGGGATATCCCATTATTTTACTCCTTTTTAGGGTAATTTCCGTAATACATTTGGTATTCAAATTATATCCAGATTATCGATTATGTTATCAAATATTTATTATTCATATTATCAGCTCTACTTAAAACTGATAAAAGTGAAGAATGAAGAAAAGTTGAAATCACCCATCTAAATAAGCTTTCACACACCAAAAAACAAAATAAAAAAAAAAACTTATTAAAAATTAAAAAACTTCAAGCAACAAGGTGTACGTGAAAGAGAGCAGCGAGCCAGAGATGCCTGGCTGCGGTACCCAGGGACGGATCTAGGATTCTGAGTCAAGGGGGGCGAAATTTTTCGTTAGTGTAGGGGATGAATTATTTTTGTTAGTGTAGCGGGGTGAAAATTTTCCCCTAGTGTAGCGGGGCGAATTTTTTTCGTTATTGTAGGGCCATGCGGCTTTTTTTATTCAAAAAATGACATTAATACATGCACATCTCGAACGGCATTTAAATCTATTACATTCTAAGTTTAGACGATGACAAAAACATCAACCAATACATTTTTAATAAGTTCTACATTGTTTAACCTCATGAATCGGTTATTGAATTGTAATTTTTGTCCACCAAGGAGGGTGTTCGTGAGTCATGACTCATGAAAAGTTTTCTTAGTATTACAATTGTAGTATACTAATATGTATGAGATTGTTATTTTTAGAATAATATGCACCACATACACACACACATATGGTGCATATTATATTTTAAAAATTTTATTAATTCTATAATAATTTAAAGTTTATTATCCATGCAATAAATTATTTTTAGAAAGCAAGAAGTAAATGAATTGTGTAATCTAATGTCTACAAATATTTATATTTTGGATTCATTTCACGTGATCTAAAAATTGTGTAATTAGTGTGTCTGGTATTTAATATTGTTTGATATATGTTTTATAAAATCCAGTACTTGTTATCTAATAAAGATAATTAAACATTACAAAACTAGGAATTCTTATATAATAAGTATCCTAAATCTTAAATACGAGTTACTCTATTGTTTATTTGTTTAAGTTATGTAAATTATTTTAGATGTTTCTTCTTTAAAATCTCCAATTAAGTATTACATTATGTAAGACTATATACTAATTTTGAAAATTAAAAGTTAAAGGGGGCGAATCTAATTGAATTATGAAAGTTTTATGAAAATATTACATATATGGTAAAAAAAAAATTGAATGTCCAAGGGGGGCGGTCGCCCCCCCCGCGCTCCCCCCCCCTAAATCCATCCCTGGCGGTACCCACAAATCAAATGGTCATGGAGCAAGAATAAAATGGATATGGAAGGGGAGAGGTCTTCTGTTAGTGGGCATCTTTAAGAAACAGGTAGATATATAGGGAGAAAGCCAATGAAAGGTACAAGCTAGATCATCCATCTCCCATCCTTTGGGAGGTCCAAACAAAACCAAAGAACAAGGGAATCAATAAAAAATGATTTTTTCCATAAAAACTAAATTGGAATTCATGCAAAACATCTGGAAAAAGATCATACTTTGTGCTATGACTCCTATCCAGTTAACCAAGGACAAAAATACCTTTACAATTCAAATGAATAAAGCAAGTAAATATACTAGTAATCTTTAAATAACAATGACAAAAACAAAAGCAACAACTACAATAATTATATTTTTAATAAGCTACATGGCTGTGCAAGCTATGCTTTTGATGCATTGCCAATACAAGTTATGCTAGAAAGTAGAAACTACTAAAAACATTTTAGTTTTTAGTACTGTCTATATAAAAAACGATGAAACATCAGAACTCCACTCTCTATCTGTCAGATTGTGATTATACTCCAATTTACATCTTCCCATCGTGCCGTCCGGTCGGTGTTGGGAGCCCTCAGGGATGTGGTGTCATCTTTTTTTTTATTTGGGTTGAAAACTACATATGAACTATTTGTCTTTACTGTTATTTGTTATGTTAGTAAACAGTAACGGTACATGCCATTGCCCAAATTCTCCATGTCACGATTATATTCTTATGAACACTATTGATATTACGAATTATATTTATAGGCACTTTAAATATGAATTATTATCGCAGAATTCATAAAATTATGAATTACTTTATGAATTTAGCCAATTTACTTTTGTAATTTTAGTTTCCTTTATGAGAGCCGGCCGATTGTATACATGTTTAACTGAAAAATCACTTGCGCTCGTGGAAGTTGATCATGAGGGGCCATCTTCCGGCGAAGTTCAACGCCGATTCACCGGGCGAAGATGGCGATCCCTTCCGCACTAACAACCACTTGCCGGGAGGCGTAATCGTTGGGGCTGGGCTACGGAAGAAGGCCGCAGGGATCCGGCAGTGGCTTCTGTTGGACGCCACAGGGCAAGCGCAGGTGGTGGAGGTCGGAAAACATGCTATCATGCGGCGGACTGGTCTCCCGGCCCGGGATCTCCGTATTCTGGACCCACTCCTCTCCTACCCGTCCACCGTTCTCGGCCGTGAACGGGCAATCGTCATAAATCTGGAGCATATCAAAGCCATTATCACCGCCCAAGAGGTCCTTCTCCTCAATTCCAAAGACCCATCTGTTTCCCCTTTCGTGGACGAGCTTCAGCACAGAATATTGCGTCACCACCAAGCTACCAAGTCTCAGGTTTCCCTTTGCCTATCCACACTACTATTTATGTCTTTTTCTGTATACATATTACACCATAGTATCAATGTGTTTATATGATAGTAATAATAATTTCTTAAAACTTGAAGTGTTCCATGTTAGA